ATTTTTCATGTTGCAATGAATTCATTTGCTCTGTAGTCTTAATAAATTATTTTTCTTTACATTTTCAAATAATAGAGACAACAGAAAGAGGAAAATTTCTCAGGCCCTTCTTTATTACTATAGATGGTCTGAAACCATCTATCATCACTTTATTACTTTGAAACATAAAATTCAAATATTTGCTTCCTGTCCCATTTTGATTTTCTTAGATGTTTCTTCTTCAGAATTGAAAGTTTATGTGAAAGTTTGCTTATAAGTACAGTTGTCTCCTTGAGAGAATGATTCTAGGGCTTTTGTGAATGCTACAATTTGTGGATGTCAAGTATTCCATTTAAAACATGCATAGATTGCATTTAATTTATATAGTTTTCCTGCACACATTAAATCATCTCCAAATTGGCTATAATTTGCATGATAATATTAATGCTGTGTGAACATAGTTGGCATGGGTTATTGAAGGGATAAGGGCAGTAAAGAACACACTCAATACACATACAATGTGTTTTTTGAGTATTTTCCATGCAAGATATTTTAACTCCATGGGTGTAGAATCAACATGGGATCAAATATAATGGTGACAAATACTCATGAATTTTCAGGAACATACTGTGTGAAGGAATACTTTTAATATATACTTACATTTCTCTGATTTGTAATTATTTGACAATGACACTCAAGTGGACATCTTATCTATCCATCTAGCATCACGATTCCATGTTACAAGGTCAAGAATTGTATTTCTCCCAATCATCATTTTGCCTCTTGGTACAAGGTCAGGTTTCTGAATGAATTACTTTTATTCAAGTGACACCGCAGATGGCATGATAATCACTCTGATGACAACAGTAGATACTTTGTAATGTTCCTTATTTTCATTCAAAATGCTTGGGAAGGGGTTGTTTCTTAAGTCTTTAAAGATTATTTGTCCCAAATTTTTGCAGTTCTTTGGGATATAACATCCTGATTCCCAAAGAGAATTTAATCTTTGCCACCAGCTCAGAAAATCATCAGTGGAATTTGATGCAATATACGGAGATATTGGCACTGGTGTTGTATTGGGTGTTGGGGGTTCCTGGTCTGAGTTGATGAGGATGACTGACTAGGTCTCTTCCTCTTCATGTGGTAGCCTTTAGCCAGCCAGTTGGACATCTTTCTATGCATGTACTAAATTATTCAGGTTTCCAGAGGACCTAACTAGTTGTTTCCAGTTTCCAATGCATCAGAAACTCAAGCAAACAGTCAACTTTGTCTGTCAGGGAGAAAACCTTAGTTCAAAGGAGGGAACTATTACAGATGCCAAGAGGTTGATAGGGATAGCGAGGGCTGCATTCTAGGTGATAGGAAAGGTTTGGTCAGCATGGCACATAGCAACAACAACAAAATTACAGATACGTGAGACACTGTCTTTAGCTGCATTCTTTATAACTCTGAAACCTGGACAATGAAATGCTCCTCAAAATAGCAGTTGAATCTGTTTGAGACAGCATGTTTCAGGAGGATTCTAGGCATCACATGAAGAGATAGCCTGTGCAACAATGACATTAAGAAACATCTCCAAGTATAGAAGAAAGTAAACTACAGGGTATGGCAATGGTGCTTGAGATACTTCTGCCATGTTATGAGAATGAATGATAACAGATACCCGAAGACAGCACTGCTTGGAGGAATGGATGGGATAAGGCAAAGAGGAAGGCCCAAAACATGCTGGATAGACAACAGAAAGGAAGACCATGGAACCCTGGGTATGACAACAATAATGCAAGCATCTAGGGCTGCCCAGGATAGGAGCAACTGGAGAACCACCATAAGCGGAATGCCCACGCATGCTTACACATTGCCAGGGCATTAATGATGATGATAATGTATTGGGGCAGGAGGTGGAGTGGGAGGAGGATTGGTTGGAGTTCAAGTTTGTAGAGGTCATATTATGGAAGGTATAATTACTGTAAATGGAGGAGGCTGTATGATTATTTCTTCTGGAACAGAGGGATTATGGGGAGCGGTATCAATTTCTTGACCTCTGGCAAATCCTGAACCAAAGGAAGGGAGAAGAGGAAGCAGAGCTCTTCTAGTTTCATGTCGTCTTCTGGGGCCTCTGTGACATTCACCAGACTGTGGGAGAAATGAAATAAACAATTTTAAATTAGATATTTCAAAGAAAATTATCAGATCATAAACTTTCTGGCCTAGGTAGAATTTTCAGATGGTTGCTAAAAGTCCCACTCTTCAAAGATATTTGCTGGTTTGGTTTTTATCAGATATCTTCTTCTAAGTTCTATAATTATGGAGGCAGAAGAGGCTAAAGTTTAATGCAGCCGCAAATAGACTACTGACTTATGATAAATATTCTCAGTATTGGAGAGAATCATATGGGAGTTAGGCTATATTAGATCAGAGTGGTCTCAGGCTCATGGCCAGTAGGAAAGCAGAGAATCATCTCATGGCCATTTTCTAGTGCCCTGGTCTTTATAAATATATACTCTGAACTCACAACACATATTTAACAATGAGATGCTAGGATTTTTAGAGAGAATACATGGTATTTGTTTTCCTGGGCACAGTTAATGTGATTACTATATTTTCCATATATTTTCCACTTCCACATATTTTCTCTGAAATTTTAATATTTTATTTTCCTTTTAAGTTGTAAAAGTTGTAAAATAAGTTTTAATGGAGAATTTTGGGAATATAATAAAGAAGAAAGAATGATACTGATTTAAAAGGGTGCTGTGTGGAAAAGGGAGAACTGGGACCTGGGTATCTTGAAAAAGCCATCCCAGTGGAATATAAAAAACCCACTTAGAAACTTGTTACTTTATGTTAATTGAGAATATTACTAAACAATTTTGAGTTCATGCAATAGTTCAATAAAGGGATGGACATCTTTGAACTGTTAAAGGATGACCTTGAGATGAAGGATGGGGTGTCCTTTAGGACTCCTCTTCTGCCTGCGCTGCACTTGAGAAGAGAACATAACTAAGCAAGTGCAGACTGTACTATAATAAACAGACTTTAAAGTCCTAGTTTCTGACAGTTATTATGCTGCTATAGAAAACTGTTACATGTTTCTAAGTCAAAAATCCTAAAAGTCAATAAAGAAAATATTTTCTCTTTGTTCTGAGCATACAGGTCCTTTATGAAAGATTAGATGTTAATGAAGCCAAAGACCATGAACAAAAATCTTTTTTTTTTTTTTCTGGACAGGGTTTCACTGTAGCTTTGGTGTCTTTTCTGGACTGGCCTTGAACTCACAGAGATTCATCTGCCTCTGCCTCCCGAGTACTGGGATTAAAGGCGTGTGCCAGTTGGCTGTTAGTAGACATGGTCACTGAAATTAATCCTAAATGGAAACAGTTACCCTTCAGGAGTGGGAAGTGTCTGTCAATTCAAGAACATAGGGTCATTCTAGGGTTTAATTCCAGTAAATTGCAAAACTTGTTATAGAGTCTTTAGTTTGTGACATATGTTAGTGTGGCAGCAGTGGGAGGTACACACATGTTTATTGTGATCGTAGAATAGGCACTACCATGCCAAGAGGTCAAAGGGAGGAAGACTAGTAGTCTCTGTAGTTTAGAAGCTGTGGCCGGCCTACCACCTCTGTCATGTACAGGCCATGTAACCCTACAGTGTCTTTGAAACAATTCTGTTTTAACCTTTGGAAAATGACATTCATATATATTTCTAGATCCTGGCATCTGCCAGATTAATCGTGAGATATTGTTAGCCACGCCTAAGGTTGTTTCCATAAATCATTTATTATGAATGATTTAATGTTGCCTAGAATGTCTAGGTAGTGCTTGCCTAGGTACAGCACTTGTTGAATAGTAACTACTACTACCGGCTATGCTAATGGACAATTTATTGACTTTTCTAAGGACAAGAATATGTTGATAATCAGCTTTATGTCAAGAAGAGTTACCTGTGTAGTTTCTGGAGTATTGGAGCAGAAGAGATTTATCTGTATAATAAAATCTGCATAAGGTCTGAGATTCTAATATGGCAATCATAGACTTTCTGTGACTATTAAAGTAAACCACAATTTCAAAGTAGAATTTAAAGTACCAGAGTGGCATTTCATTAGTAATTTGTAGTTCCTACATATTAGGAAAGGCAGATAAGTAATATTAATCTGAAGTAAACATTAATAAGAGAATATAGTGGTAGGGATTATTGAGACTTACCAGGAAACATCCTCCAAGAACCCAAAGAACCAAGAACAAATACAGTTGTTTCATCTTTTGTTTGCTCCTGAAAGCAAGCAAAATGACTGGTTAGCATTCCCTTTAAAAATGAAATGGTTTATTTGGAACTTGTCTCAACACATGGTGTATATGTAGAGCAGTATATCTTAAAATAATTTTCCTACCCTTATCTTGAACTCAATATTAGAGCAGTCATTTGATCAACTCTTAACATTTGACTGGATAATGATGGAGCTAGTTTTCACATTTGACTTGTGTGTTGTGGGATTTTCCTCTGTATGCTGTGATTACCATTAATGAATAAAGAAACTGCTTTGGACCTATAGCAGGGCAGAACTTAGTTAGGCAGGGAAAACTAAACCTAATGCTGGGAGAAAGGAGGCAGAGTCAGGGAGAAGCCATGGAACCACTGCTAGAGACAGGTTGAAACCTTGCAGGTAGTCAACAAGCCTTGTGGTAAAGTATAAAATAATGGAGAGGGGCTAATTCTAGATGTAAGAGCTAGCTAGCAATATGTTTAAGTAATTGGCCAAGCAGTGATTTAATTAATACAGTTTTTGTATGGTTATTTCAAAAGTCTAGGCAGTCAGGAAATGAACAAGCAGCCTCCTTACTACACTTGTGAGCTGATGCTGGAGAGAATCCAAATAGTTGCTCATGAAGATTCTGAGCAACAGAAGCTTTCCAAAGTAAAGCTTTGATTTAGCAGCAATCATCTCAATGTGGACATTTATTTCATGTACATTTTGTTACATATAACAGGCCTCTGTAGACTTGAGTGTGATATACAAACACTTTATATATCATATATGGTCTTATGACACTGAGAAGAGAAGGAAGAAGTCTTCCTATTAGATGCAATCAAAGGGCAAAGCATCCTTTAGCAAATAGCTTTTGTTTAACATTAAACTAAATGGTGCTAGTCCACAATAAGTGTCCACAAATCTGTTTTCTAACATCCAGCTATGCTCCATCAATTACTAGGACAAAAGACAACATCATTGTTTAACTGTATTTTATTTTGAGTGCCATAAAGTTTGTGATCAATTTCTAGAGGCAGATTGCCTGAGTTCTTCCTTCATATCACTGCACACAGTGGCCTGTCATCTCACAGTCAACTCTGGCAATAGTATAAATGTGGCAGTCGAACAGTGCAAAACCTGAAAGAATCTTAGGAACAATTATTCACTGGATTTTATGAGCATATGTGACTTATTGTTTTTGTCTAAGATATATTTTATGTTAAGCTTAAAAAATAAGAAAAAATAACTGTAAATATGTATGTTAGAATAATTTTCTTCCAGAGTCCATTTGAGAGGAGCCCATCATTATGAATGTTAAGGAACCACAAGGTACAAGGAGGAGAAAGGGAATTGTGGACTTTGATGCACTCACTGTCCGAAGTGATCAAGTAATACTTTACTGTTACTGTAAAAATTTTCAAAATGTGGTAGATTTATGACTTTTGATTTCTTTTAGGCATGTCCTCTTGCAGTGATGAAAATTAATATCCTATAAACGGTCCATTAAAATGCTGTCTCTAAAACAAGGCAAAATTTAATGTCAAGTTAAAGGGCTTCATATTTCCAGGTGCCTACCTTGGAGAAGTTTCTTCTTAGCTGATTCGCCTGCTGTCCAGGAGGACTCTGGCCAGTTATTTCTGAGTGGTGGAAGATGAAGGACAAAGGCCCAGAACTCTCAGTTCTTATATATGCTGTCGTATAATTTTATTGGCAGTAAAAGAAATCCAAGTAGGAAGATGAAACAGTTTTCGTTAATACTTTACAAACAGGAAGCATCCATGCCAGTTTGGCAGTGTAATTCTACCTTCTTTTCATTTTTAAATCCACTCTGTCTTTCACTGTGAGTAGCTTCCTTAGTAAGCTGTGTAGTGAGTCACATTGTGCTTTCATTTCAAGACAAGAAAGAAGGACCTGTGGTGCCCACTGTCTATTTTGGGTGAAAAAAGCATGACATGTTTGTTCTGATATATTTTCTTTTTTTTTAAGTAAATTTTATTAAATTATAAAAGTTTCCATTTCTGCCCCCCCTCCCAACACCCTCCCACTCCCCCCACTCCCCCTCCTCCTCCCTCTTCGTCCCCCAGGGCAGTCAGGGTTTCCTGCCCTGTGGGAAGTTCCAGTTCCTTCCCCCTCCCTCCAGGTCCAGGAAGGTGAGTGTCCAAACAGACTGGATCCCCAAAATCCAGTATATGTAGAGGAAACAGGTCCCAGTGTCATAGTCAATGGCTTTTCAGAATGACTTCGGGCCAGCCACAGTCAGAGAATCCGGCCAAATTCCGAGAATCTGGTTAGATCACGTCCTCGTTCAGTCCCAGTCCAACTGGCCTTGGTAAACTCTCATCAGATCCGTTCCCTTGTATCAGTGGGTGATAGCATCCCTCGCAGTACTGATTTCGTTTTTCATGTTCTTCCTCCTTCTGCTCCTCATATGGACCTCGGGGGGCTCAGTCCGGTGCTCCAATGTGGGTCTCCGACTGTATCGCCGTCCTTCGCCAGATGAAGGATCTATGGTGATAAGCAAAATATACATCAGTACGGTCATGGGCCACGGCCGATTCAGGCACCCTCTCCTCTGTCCAGAGAGCAATCTGGGGGATCTCTCCTTGGACCTGGGATCCCATATATAATCAAGTCTCCTGTAAACCCTAAAATGGCTCCCTTAGTTGAAATATATTGTTCCCTGATCCCATCCATATTCATCCTTCCTCCCTCTCCCCCCCATCTCTGGCCACCAAGCTTTCCCCGTTCCTCCCCTACTCCCTTCTCTCTAACCCTCTCCCCTTCCATCGACCCTCCCACCCACCCATTCACCCGAGGTTACCTGGGACTCTTGTCTATTTCCTACCTCCTGGTGGATAGCTAAATAATCTTCATCAGGTTCATCTTCTTATTTAGCTTCTCTAGGATCACGAATAATAGGCTCAAAGACCTTTAATTATGGTTAGAATCCACTTATGAGTGAATACATACCGTGTTCCTCATTTTGGGTCTGGCTTACCTCACTCAGTAAAGCGTTTTCTATTTCCATCCATTTGCATGCAAAATTCAAGATGTCATTGTTTTTTACCGCTGAGTAAAACTCTAATGTGTATATGTTCCACACCTTTTTTAACCATTCTTCTATTGAGGGGCACCTAGGCTGTTTCCAGGTTCTGGCTATTACAAATAGTGCTGCTATGAACATAGTAGAACAAATGCTTTTGTAGTATGTTAGGGAATCTTTAGGGTATATTCCCAAGAGTGGAATTGCTGGGTCCTGAGGGAGGTTGACTCCCAGTTTCCTGAGAAACCGCCACACTGATTTCCACAGTGGCTGCACGAGTTTGCATTCCCACCAACAATGGATGAGTGTTCCCCTCACTCCACATCCTCTCCAGCATAGGCTATCGTTGGTGTTTTTGACTTTAGCTATTCCGACAGGTGTAAGATGGTATCTCAAAGTGGTTTTGATTTGCATTTCCCTGATCGCTAAGGAGGTTGAGCATGACCTTAAGTGTCTTCTGGCCATTCGAAGTTCATCTGTTGTGAATTCTCTGTTAAGTTCAGTACCCCACTTTTTAATTGGGTTAATTAGAGTTTTAGTGCCTAGTTTCTTGAGTTCTTTGTATATTTTGGAGATCAGACCTTTGTCTGATGAGGGGTTGGTGAAGATCTTCTCCCAGTCAGAAGGCAGCCTTTTTGTCCTACTGACAGTGTCCTTTGCTTTACAGAAGCTTCCCAGTTTCAGTAGATCCCATTTATTCATTGTTTCTCTTATTGTCTGTGCTGCTGGGGTCCTACTTAGGAAGAGGCCTCCTGTGCCTAAATCTTGTAGACTACTTCCCACTTTCTCTTCTATCAGGTTTAAAGTGGACGGATTAATGTTGATGTCTTTAATCCATTTGGACTTGATTTTTGTGCATGGTGATAGATATGGATCTACTTTCATTTTTTTACAGGTTGACATCCAGTTATGCCAGCACCATTTGTTAAAGATGCTTTCCTTCTTCCATTGTATACCTTTAGCTCCCTTGTCGAAAATTAGGTGTTCATAAGTTTGTGGGTTAATATCTGGGTCTTCTATTCGATTCCATAGGTCGACTTCTCTGTTCTTATGCCAATACCAAGCTGTTTTCAATACTGTAGCTCTATAATAGAGTTTGAAGTCAGGGATGGTAATGCCTCCAGAAGTTCTTTTATTGTATAAGATTGTTTTGGCTATCCTGGGTTTTTTGTTTTGCCATATAAACTTGATTATTGTTCTCTCAAGGTCTGTGAAGAAGTTTGATGGGATTTTGATGGGGATTGCATTGAATCTATAGATTGCTTTTGGTAGAATTGCCATTTTTACTATGTTGATTCTCCCAATCCAAGAGCAGGGGAGGTCTTTCCATTTTCTGGTATCCTCCTCAATTTCTTTCTTCAAAGACTTAAAGTT